CCTTTAACAAAAAATAAATCTAGCCCTAGCCGGTTTGGCTCAGTGGATAGAGTGTCGGCCTACAAACCAAAGTGTCCCAGGTTCGATTCCAGTCAAGGGCATGTACCTTGGTTGTGGGCACATCCCCAGTGGGGAGTGTGCAGGAGGCAGCTGATCAGTGTTTCTCTCTCATCAATGTTTCTGACTCTCTATCCCTCACCCTTCCTCTCTGTAAAAAAATCAATAAAATATATTTTAAAAAAAAGATAAAAGAGACACAAAAGACATTTAAAAAAATAAAGTTATTATTGATAGGTACTTGTTTGTCGCCGTTTTTATTCTTTACGCCTGTGTTCCTTCTTTGCTTCCTATTTCTTCTTTTTACAGCAGACCCTTTAGCATTTTTTGCATTGCTGGCTTGGTCGTAATAACCCCCCTTAGTCCTTTGTTGTCTGTGAGGTTCCTGATTTCACCCTCAATTTTGATTGATAGCCTTGCTGGGTACAGTAGTCTTGGATTCAGACCCTTCCTTTGCATTACTTTGTATATTTCATTCCATTCCCTTCTGGCCTGGTTTGTTTTTGTTGAGAAATCAGTCACTAGTCTGATGGGAGATCCTTTGTAGGTAACTTTCTGTCTCTCTCTGGCTGCTTTTAATATTCTTACTTTGTTGTTGGTGTTTGCCAGTTTAATTATAATGTGCCTTGGCATTGATCTTTTGGGGTTCATTTTGTTTGCGACTCTGTGAGCTTCTTGGATTTGTGTGAGTTTTTTCTTCCCTATATTAGGGAAGTTTTCTGTCATTATTTCTTCAAACAGGTTTTCTATTCCTTGCTCAGTTTCCTCTCCTTTGGTACTCCTGTTATGTGGATGTTGTTTCGTTTCGTGTTGTTCCAAAGTTCCCTTAGGCTCTCCTCCTGTTTTTTAAGTATTTTTTTTTTCTAGATGATGCTTTGCTTGGGTATTTTTTCCTACCTTGTCTTCTAGCTCACTGATGTAGTGCTCTGCTTCTTATAGTCTACTGTTGATGCTTTCTATTGAGTTCTTTATAGCAGTGATGTCATTTTTCATTTCTTCTTGGTTCTTCTTCATTTCCTCTTGGTTCTTAACATATTGTTGAATTTGTTTTCCATTCTTTTCAGTGACCTTATGACCATTTCTCTGAATTCTTTCTCTGACATATTGCTTGCCTCCACTTCGTTTACTTCCTTTTCTGGTGATGCCTCCTTTTCTTTCATATGCGGGCTGTTTCTTTGTCTCCTCATGAACTCTCTTCTCTGGGTGTATGGTTATGTAGCTCTCTCTCTCCTTTCCCCTGGTGAAATCTGACCTTTCCATGAGAAGGTGCAGAGCTCCTCTGAGTCTGTGTATTCGTGCTGCTTGAGATCTGGTGTTCCTGGGTTTGCAGCTGGTCCCTGGGTGTTGTGGTTGCAGAGTCCTGGGATATATAGGCCTCCGATAACAGCCACTCTCCCCTTCAAGATGGCCCAGACTCCGCGGCAGAGCCATTTGCTCCAGGAGAGATTTCAGCAGCAGTGGAAACTGCCCTGATCAGGGGAGCCCCGTCTGGCAGTCCCCAACAGTCCCTTGGAGTATATCTGTCCCTCACCCACAAATATACACTCCCTGTACATCCACACACTCTCCTTTCATTCTCTCACTCACATACCATCCTGCACTCTGTCTTCCCATCTGCAGCCATCTTCCTGAATTTTTTCTTTTGTCATCTCTTTTTGTCAGAATACAGACATCTGAATCATCATTAATATATAATAGGAGGGGAAATCTATAAACTTGAAAATTTAATAAACTTTCATTTTTACTATATTTGCTTGAACTATTTAATAGTCAGTGTAAGAATCTAAGACTTAGGGTCATCTGTAAGGCTGCTCCTTGGCAGGGGCATGGAAAATAGTATTAGAATGAGATTTTATGTCATACTTGCATTCTAAGCTTTGGTGGCTGATCCTATATAATAAAAGCCTAATATGCTAAGTGTCTGGTCATCCGGTCGTTTGTTTAGCCAATCAAAGTGTAATATACTAATGATATGCTAAGGCCGCTCAACTGCTTACTCTGATGTGCACTGACTACCAGGGAGCAGATAGTTGACCACTCAACTAGTCATTATGACGTGGAGGGGGCAGGCTCTCTGACTGGTAGGTTAGCTTGCTGCTGGGGTCTGGATAATCGGAACTGAATGAGATGGGCTGGACACACCCTAGAGCCCTCCTGCGGTCCCTCCCCAGCTGGCCAACCTCCCGCATCCCTCCCTGGCTCTGATTGTGCACCGGTGGAGTTCCTTGCCATGGCCTGTGCCCTCTTGTATTCCAGGACCCCTTGGGGGATGTTGGAGTGCTGCTTTCGGCCCGATCCCGCAGGCCAGGCCAAGGGATCCCATTGGTGCATGAATTCGTGCATTGGGCCTCTAGTAAAAATATATATTACAATAGATGTTAAAATTAATTTTTTTTTGTTTTTGAGGTTTACCCTAAGGTTTATTTTAATAATAAAGTATGATAGTAATGTAATAGTTGTGTAATCAATACATATATTCAGGCACTCTATTTCATGTTTCTAAAATATAAAACAACTGCCCCTCTGCTTTTTTTTTTAATTACAATATTATTGACCATGTTTCTGATGCTGTACTTTGCAGTCCCCATGGCTGTTTTGTAACTGCCAATCTGTACTTCTCAATCCCTTCACCTTTTTATGCTGAGAGTATGTTTTGAATGAACATTTTTTCTGTTTTAGATATTGAGCTATACTTGACGTTTTCAAGAGTGATTTTTTTGTTTTTCTTCTTAGTCTGATCTGAAGTGTGTCCAGGATGCCAAAGGAGGTTCTTTCTACAGAGATCACTGCCCTGTGCTAGGTGAGTTAGCAGAATGGAGGAAATAACTAAATAATGGGTCAGAATTCATGGAATCATTAAAATATTTAAGTGGACTTTTAACAAATTAGTTACCATTAAAGCTATTTGCAGAGATATTTTTTTGGTCTTATTTTGGTTTTAACGAATTTGTCCTTTTTAAAAATATATATATATATTTATTTCAGAGAAGAAAGGAGAGGGAGAGAGAGATAGAAACATTAATGATGAGAGAGAATCATTGATTGGCTGCCTCCTACACACCCCCTACTGGGGATTGAGCCCACAACCTGGGCATGTGCCCCTGACTCTTCAGTCCGCAGGCCGACGCTCTATCCACTGAGCCAGGGCAAGAATTTGTTCTTTTTAAATGATTTATGTAGACACTGAGTTGTCATATCTTGAGAATTGACATGCCATTTATGTCAGAATATATTTGAAACTTTTTCTTTTAACTGTAAACTTATTATTGAAAAACTTAGTATTAGATATTACTTCTCTTCACTATTACGAATAGAATCTGACAATTTAAAGCTTATGGAATTCTTAGCTTATGGAATCTTTCCTTTCTAATGCCAGAACAACTCCCAAGATTAAAGTAACATAATAAATATAATTTCACTTATCATTAAAATAAAAAAAATAAGAAAACCAAAACTACCTTCATTTTATTGATTCTTTATTGTTGTCATGATGAATATTTACCACATTTATCTGATTAAGCCTTTAGTCTCTGAATGCTTTTCTTTCTCATGTAGACTCTGTGTTCCTCTTTCTAAATCATTGGATTTGCCTTTTTGATAAAAAGTGCTCTTTTCTTGCATGACACCTTATTATTTTAAAAGGAGAATATAGAAGAAATACATATGTTTTTGCTGAGAGCATCCATTTCTCTTGCTACCAGAAACTTTCTTGCGATCCCAGGTTTTGGCACCAAAAAAAGTAACTCCTATGTCTTGCCTTCACACGAAAAGGATAGAACCAACATGCACATTTGGATCTCTCATTGTAGTGTTTCATGATTATGAATCTTTGAAGTCCTACAGCTTGTTCTTGTTTAAAAATAATGCAGTTGCATGTTGTTGCTATAACTTTCTTTTTCCTTCGTCAACCCCCTCTGCAATTACAGGTGAGCAGAATGGCAACAGAAATCCTGGTGGGTTGCAGATTGGTGACCTGGTAAATATAGACCTTGACTTAGAAATTGTACAGTCTTTGCAGCATGGTCATGGAGGATGGACTGATGGCATGTTTGAGACTTTAACTACAACTGGAACTGTTTGTGGCATTGATGAAGATCATGACATTGTAGTACAGTATCCGAGTGGCAATAGGTTGGTGCTATTTCTTAATTTTTCAGTAATGGGAAATAAAGCTAGAGAAAAGAGTCTTAAAGAAAGCAAATAATCTGCTATAACCAGAGTCTTTAAAGGTAGCTCTCAGTAGGTAAAAATCCAGAATATGTTGGTAAGGTGGAAGGGAATAAATGTCAAGAAGTATGTGTCTGTGTGTGTGTGTGTGTGTGTGTGTGTGTCTCCTTCAGAGAGCAGAATATATTGTGTCATCGTTAGGTCCAAGTATAGCAAAAAGTTTTGTGTTCACAATGAGTCCATTTATCCTGAATGAGAAGGATAAAATTAATACTCTTCTGGCCCATATCTCCAGGGTTATATCTTGATAACACAGCTTTCCCTGCCACAGACACATACACACATACTAATCCTTATCAGCAACATAGAGTTACATGCATTTTCTCACTTCTTTTCCTTTCCACATACTATTCCCTTCATTCAGAATACCCTTCCCTCCTTTATCCCCTCTTTCTCTGGATTAACTGCTTTGCATCCTATAGATATTGAGCTTAGTTAGATACTTGGGAATCTCCTCTCTTCTTCTGCTCTCCTTGGTGTATGCATACATTATTCATCTGTTTAGGTCTCCTGTTATCTATTAAAATGATTATTTATTTGACCTCTAGGTTGCGAGTTTCTTGGAGACTGGGCCTGTACCTTTTATGTATTTGCTCTTTAGGCAAAATATGTCTAATTTACTTGGATGTTTATGACATTTTAAAGAAAAAGCAGTAGTTAAATTGAATAATTGTCCAACTTTATTGCTGACATGTACATAAAGAAATTCTGAGTTTATATTTTTCTGCTTTTTAAATTTTTTTATTTTTCAATTACAGTTTACATTCAATATCTTTTGAATTAGTTTCAAGTGTACAGCATAGTGGTTAGACAATCATATACTTTACAGAGTGTTCCCCCAATACTTCCAGTACTCACCTGGAACCATACATAGTTATTACAATATTATTGACTATATTTCCTATGCTATATCTGTGACTATTTTGTAGTTACCAATTTGCACTTCTTAATCCCTTTATCTTTTTCACCCAATTCCTCCTGAGGTTCTTTAGGGAATTAGAAAAATTAACATTAAGTTGCTTACCAAAGTATAGAATTCTAATTGTATTCAGATTTTATACATGATTAGAGGCCTGATGCATGGAACTCATGCAATGGTCTGGTCCCTAGGTCTGGCTGGCGATCGAAGCGTGAGCATCTGGTGTGGAAGGGCAGGTCCCAGCTGACCTCTGGGCCCTGGGCAGCACCTGGGCCCCTGTTCACCCCCTTTCACCTGAGTCATTGGGTGCCCTTCTGGCTCCCTCAGTGCCTGGGAGCCGGGCGGCAGCCCCCACCCCTTCTGCCGCCGCTGGTTGCCGTCTGCAGGGCGATCAGCAGGGCGATCGGGCCCAGCTTGCACCCGCCTTGGCCTGGTGCCACCCGCTCACTTGCTCCACCATCCTGCTGCAGTCCCACTCTCGTTGGGGCCCATTGGGGCCAGCAGTGCCTCCACTGCCACCTGTTGCCAGCACAATGTCTCCCATGCCCGCCATGTTCTGCGCCGCCCCCTGGTGGTCAGTGCACATCATAGCGAGCGCTTGAATGCCCAGTCAAACTCCCAGTCGAGGGGACAATTTGCATATTAGGCTTTTATTATATAGGATCATGTCAAGAGATGCAGAAAAAAGATGACAAAATCTAACACTGTTTTATGATAAAAACTCTGAATGTTAGGTTAACACAAATTAGGATGATTACTTGCAGAATTCTTTCTTGGGCAATGGTGTTAACAGTAATAATGACGTGAGTTTTAGAAAACTTTTTTTTCTTCTTTATTTATTCAACAAAAGTTTATTAAATACTAATTTATGAAATACTGTGTTGGGCCCTGTGAATAGTGGTAGGATTATAAACACATTAAGACATGGTTCTCTGCTTTGAAGGGGTTTTACTTTTAGTTTGGATAGACAAAACCAAAAATAAGCATTAATGTGTTGTAAGTAATTATGAGAGTGAGTATTCAGGGTATTCTGAAGGTACAAAAGAAGAGTGATCATTTCAGTTGGGCAAATCATAGAAAAACTTCAGAGAGAAAATTACATTGTGCATAAGATTGAAAGATCAACTCGATTTTCACCAAGGAAGGGGAGCACTGTAGGCAGAGGGAACAACTTAAATAAATACTGCTGTGTTCAGGCACTATAATATATCTGGTAAATTTTGGAATATTGAGTGAGATAAAGGGGACTGTGATTGATAAAGCCACAAAGAAAAGTTTGTGTATGTGATTTTTATTCTTAACTGATCAGAGGCACTTCTTTCTCTTTATGGTTGTTTTATAAAGCAAAGTGTATATGGTTACAGAACTTTAGTAAATAAGTTTTTTTATGTTGTGACCACTCAACATCTATTCTAATAAAAGGGTAATATGCAAATGGTCTGGACACCCTCACGTGTAAACGACTGATCAGCAGGCTCTATGCGCAGCAGGCTCAGGTGGGCCGGGACTTGCAGTGTCGGGGACTTGTGTCCCGCTGTCACAATCCATCACCAGGAGGCCTGGGGCCTGGTGGCTGCCTCTGTGCGTCCTGGGGGTGGGGCCCAGCGGAGGCCTCTGTGCGGCCCGGCCCGGGCACTGGGCCTGGCGAAGGCCTCCGCGCGGCGAGGCCTGGGGGTCCCTTGACTCTGTGTGGCGTGGAGGTGGGACCCCTGGTTCTGGCCTACCTCTTTGGGGCAATCCATTGAGGAGCCCCGGATGGATGGCCGGGGCCTACCTCTTTGCTGCGATAGATCATGGGGCTCCTGCACTGTGACAGGGCACTGACCAGGCTGGGGGCCCTCCACCCCCCCCGAGTGCATGAATTTCATGCACCAGGCCACTAGTCTTTTATATAATAACTAGAGGCCCGATGTATGAAATTCATGCAAGGGGTTCGGCCCTCGCAGCCCCGGCTTTGTCCAGACAGTCGTCTGGAAGGACATCCCAGAAGGTTGTATGGTCTAATTAGCATATTCTTTATTATATAGGATGACCCTATTATAAAAGCTTATTTGACTAGGGAAACTTTTATTTATTTAAAAAAATATTTTTATTGATTTTAGAGAGGAATGGAGAGGGAGAGAGAGATAGAAACATCAATGATGAGAGAGAATTACTGATTGGCTGCCTCCTGAATGCCCCCTACTGCGGATGGAGCTTGCAAACCTGGCATGTTCCCTTGACCAGAATTGAACTCGGGACTCTTCAGTCCCCAGGCTGATGCTCTATCCACTGAGCCAAACCAGCTAGGGTGACTGTGGAAACTTTTATCTTTGGAGTTGGACTAGGATATATATATATATATTTATTTATTATGATACAATTATTTGGTAGAATGTTAAGTAGCCAATAAAATGGTAGTTATGAAAATGGTAGCAGCATAGAAAAATGCTTATGTATAGAAAAGAAGAAGTCAGAACCCAAGTTTGTTTTGCTGAAGTGATTACAATCGTGTATAATTCCCATCCATGACAAGTTAAAACTAAATACTATTTTTAGCCATGAGATTGTCAATGATATGGAGAAATGGTGCAGATTGGCTCAATTTATTAGAATTGTAAACAAATTGTGTACTTTAATTAGGTAATTGTTCCAAGAATTTCTAATGAAATACTGACCCCATGTGCACAAGGATGTTTATAAAGAGATGTTCTTTATAGTATTGTTCGTAATACTGTAGTGAAAATTGGAAATACTTTATTTAAAAAAAATATTTTTATTGATTTCAGAGATGGAGAGAGTGATAGAAATATCAATGATGAGAGAGAGTCATTGATTAGCTGCTCCTGCACACTCTAAACTGGGGATCGAGCCCACAACGCAGGCATATGCCCTGACCTGGAATTGAGCCGGTGACCTCCTCTAGGTTGACACTTGACCACTGAGCCACGCCGGCTGGGCGGAAATACTTTAAGTCATTAGTGTTTATCCATGTTATAGAATACTCTGTGGCCATTAAACTGAAATAAGTAGTTCCATGTCTGTGACATTGATAAATAAATCTTCCCAGGTACATTCTCTGAGAAAAAAGAAGCCACAGAATTATAATTCCATTTATGGAAAAGAAAACAGTTCTTTTCCTACATTATAATTATCGCTTAGCATATTGATAGATATGCACGGATTCACAGTGTAGTATTAATAGTGGCTTCTAGTGGAGTGGGGAATGGTGATCCAAATGTGTGTGTAATGGAACTGTCATTTGTCAACAAGAATCATCAGAACCAGTTGTGGAAAGAGAAGAAACTTTATTCAGGTTTACAAATCTAGGAAATGCAACCTCTGGTGAAAACTGAAAGTGTTATATTTCATAGAGAAAGTTCCTCCCTGGTGTCTGTGAATTTTTATACAAATGAGAAATTGAAATTGCAGAGTTCTGATTAACCCAAATGGTATGGTCCTCATTGGTCAAAATTGTTTATTCTGATTTGGCCATTATGGGGCATTTCTGATTGGTCAGATAGAGCAAATGATATAGCTGCACAGTTCTGATTGGATGTGGCAGGTCTCAGTTCATTGGTCAGAAAATGATACCAGGAACTCCTTTGTAAGGATTGACTTAGAATTCTGAAACAGGGTGCAGGAGACTGGCAGCTCACTCTGTAGCTTTTCCCTCAAATGCAGAATGTGTGAGTGGCTTGTGTCCACATGGCTGCTAGACTTGGGCCCAGTTAACCCTGAGGAGTCCTTCTTGGCAGATATGCTCCTTCCCAAGGTTCCCATACTTTACATGGTTCTGAAAAGTTTTAATTTTTAACAATGAATATGTATTATTTTTATAACAATTTTTAATATGCAAAGGGTAATATATCTACACAGAAGTATATCTATCATATTAGGGTGGTGATATTATGATGATTCTTTTCCCAAATTTGTATTTTAAAATTATAAAATGAAATACAAATAATTCAGGATGTAATTATAAAGGATGGCTTTACTTTTTTTGATGTGTTAAAGGCTTTTCTCCCGGCAGTGCTTAACAAAAAATGTTATGTTAAAATTAAACTTAACTCATTTTGAGTTTTGGCTTTGATCCTTAGGTGGACCTTCAATCCTGCTGTTCTCACTAAAGCAAACATTGTCCGAAGTGGGGATGCTGCTCAAGGTGCAGAAGGAGGCACCTCACAGTTTCAAGTGGGTGATCTTGTACAAGTTTGTTATGATCTGGAAAGAATTAAGCTTCTGCAAAGAGGACATGGAGAATGGGCTGAAGCTATGCTCCCAGTAAGTATATATAAAATAGTTTTGGACTAGGAATTATACCATGCTTATGTAATTTTTAGAAGTACTTTAATTTTATAAACTAAGTTAGCATAATCCTTTGAGAATTTTGTTCTTTATTGGCATCTAGTCATAATTATGCCTTTTATTTTTTAAGTTATTCCAGTTAAATTAGCCAGGGAAAGTCCAAAAAGGGCTACAGTTAATATTTTTTGATAGAGTCATTAGTGGAGAGTGTAATGTAGGGACAAAGTACTAATTGGGACTAAATACTATTATTTAAAATAAAAATATTAGTGAAGAAAGAGGGTACAGGGAAGAACACCTGAAAGACAAATTTTAATATTGTCTATACTAGTGCACCAATAAACTATATATATTTTAAGTGAGGGAATGTGGATATATATGGAAGGGTATTATTGTAAATGTAACCATTAGGACAATATAGCTTAATATAAAGTTTTAATATAAACTTTATATTTAAAAGAAAAATAATGGGAGGATTAACCATAAAGTTTTAAAAAAGTATGCATATATAAAAAAGGAATATGACACAGGACAGAGGTAGAAGAGAGACATCTTTGAATATGTCTTATTTTATAGATTTGACTTGAAACTACATACTTTATACAACTATAAAACAAATTCAAAAATGAAACTCCTAGAAGTGGAAAATAAAATGAAACAAACCTAAATGTATTTTCTGTTGGCGTCCTATCTAATAAAGAGGGAATATGCTAATTGACTGTCATGCTGTTGCAAAGATGGTGGCGTCCACAGCCAATAAGAAAGGAATATGCTAATTGACCTCCAAGCCCTCAAAGATGGCAGTGCCCACAGCCAATAAGGAGGGACTATGCTAATTGACTGCCACACCCTCAAAAGATGGCGGCGCCCACAACTAATAAGGGAATATGCTAATAGACTGCCACGCCCTCAAAGATGGTGACGCCCACAGCCAATGAGGGAATATGCCAATTGACTGCCACACCCTCAAAGATGGCGGCACCCACAGCCACAAGATGGCCGCACCCAGTCCCCTCAGCTCTGCCAGGGCAGCAGGCACGTGGCAAGGCTGGGCTCCGCGCACCTGCCTCCAGAGTCCCCCAGTCTCCTCAACCCCCCAGCCGCCCAGGGCTGACCCGAGGCACAGACAAGCCTCGGATGGCGGCTGCCCAGCCTCCTCGGGCTGCCGGAGGCTCAGGTAACGAGGGCCAGCCGAGGCTTGCGCTGCCGGCAGTGGCAGCAGCAGAGGTGTGATGTGAGTGTCGCCTTCCTCTGATTGCCGGGTCGCCTCACACTCCTGAAGGCTCCTGGACTTATGAGAGAGGGCAGGCCGGGCTGAGGGATTCCTCCCTCCAGTGCATGAATTTTCATGCACCGGGCCTCTAGTAACCATATAAAAAGGAAATTCCAAATGATTTTTAAAAACAGTAGTTTGTCTTTATAGCCTTATAGAAGGAATATACCCTACAGAATTACAAGGAAAAAGAAATATTGTTGTCTTCTTTTGTGTGTGTTTGAGATTTTCCATAATGAATAGTTAAGGAGGAAAAAACAAAGAATGCAGCTACTCCTAGAGTTTGAGATCATGGTGGAAAATTCCAAGTGAAAATGTCTTACAAGAAGTTAAAATTGGTGTGTGTTGGGGGGCAAGGAGAGAGTTAAACAGGGCTAGAGAAGTATATTTTCAAGTCTTTTGAAGTAAGATGATAGTTGTCAATATGGATTAAGTTTTCAAGGAAGAAGAGTAAAAAATGAATGAATAAATTTTTGGAGAATGAACATATTTGGGGATCTGAAGAAGGAAAAGGAACTTCTGAGTGGAAGAAGGGAAGAAACAGACAGAAAGATTAGACTGTCATCTAGAAATCAATGGAATAGTTTCTTAAAGTTAGGGTCAGATGCTGCAGAGAATCAAAAGAGAAAACAAGGCAATTTCTTCTCTTTGTTAGAAAGTAGTCAGATATTATTACTACACTTTACCAATTTTCTAGTATTGTTATTTGCTGCTAGAGACCTGGTGCATGAAATTTGTGCACTTGGGGGTGTTCCTCAGTCTGGCCTGCACCCTCTTGCAGTCCTGGAGCCCTTGTGGGATGTCCAACTGATGGACATCCTTAGCGCTGCCATGGAGGCGGGAGAGGTTCCTGCCACTGCTGCTGCGCTTGCCAGCCATGAGCCTGGTTTCTGGCTGAGCTGTGCATCCCCTGTGGGAGCACACTGACCACCAGGGGGCAGCTCCTGTGTTGAGCACCTTCCCTTGGTGGTCAGTTCGTGTCATAGCAACTGTTCGTTCCGCCGTTCGGTTGATTTGCATATTAGCCTCGCCTAAGACCATCGGAAAACACATGTATAATTACATACTGTTTTGTGATTAATCACCATGCTTTAATTATGTTCAATTTGTAACAATGAAATTGGGGGTCACCACAACATGAGGAACTGTATTAAGGGGTCACGGCATTAGGAAGGTTGAGAACTTAGACTGTCAAATAAAGAAATGATGACAGCCAACACAGCAGTAGCTGTCCATGTGAATGCCCTGTCTTGAAAATAGTCAGATATTATTACTATACTTCACCAATTTTCTAGTATTATTATTTGCTATTATGTTATGTTTAAGAGAATGGATTTTGGAACTAAGTTTGAAATGGGGCTAATGCTAGCACGTAACTTTCAGGGTCATACATATATAGGTCATATAGCAGAGTTGTTTTTTATTGTTCATGGCACATAAAGTTGTGTCTTATTGGTTAATGCTTGGTAACAGAAATCTTTATATACAAGTATAGACACCCGATTCTTAAAAACGGCACTTTGGAGCAAAAAGCATAGGTAATTACTATTATTATATTTGTAAATCAATAAAAATTATACCTTTTTTGGGGGGCAGATCAACAAAAAATATACAGTTTTGGCTCTGGCCAGTTTGACTCAGTGATTGGAGTGTTGGCCTGCATACCAAAGGGTTGCAGGTTCAATCCCTGTCCTGGTTGAGGCACGTTTGGGAGACAACTAATAGATGTGTCTCTTGCACCTCATTGTTTCTTTCCCCTCTCCCTCTTCCCTTCCACTCTCTAAAAATCAATGGGAAAAATATCCTCAGGTGAGGATTAACCAAATAAGTAAATAAACAAATAAATAAATAAAATACTGTTTTGGGTGTGCCACAGAATTTTAGTAGTTTATGTGTGCCATGACATGAAAAAGGTTGAAAATTGCTGTCTTAGAACATTAGAACAACATTTGCCACATGGTAACTGCTGTTGCTGATTGTTTTTTGTACCTTATTGCCCTTTTTTCTCCCATATTTAATAGGCATGTTATTTCTACACACTTAAGTCATGATTCAAAAAAGGATTTAAACATAGATGTAAACTTTGAGCCCTTTGAAATTTAAATATATATATTTTTTTAGAAATCAGACTTTATATTTTTAGTCTTAGATTGATGATGGATTGTGTACCACTTGAGATCTTAGTTCTCAAGATTTATCTTCTGGGTTAAAAAGGAAGGGTTAAATATCAAAAAGCAAAATTTTGTGGACTTTTATAAATAAGATAGATTCATGATTTATTTTTTATATTTTTATGGCAATATAGTAGTTTTATTAAAATATTTTAAAAAGTTAATCTTTAAAGTTTGTAATTAATGAATAACCCATTTGAGTATGGTTATTCTTTAATAGTTTTCCTTTAGGACCAAAATAAAATAAATTATTTAAACATGTAAAACCTGGTGTTTGATTTTTATGGTATATACTATGGACTTGGAAACATGAATCTAATTTTTTTAAAGACTTTAGGTAAAGTTGGCCGAGTACAACAGATTTATTCAGACAGCGATTTAAAGGTGGAAGTTTGTGGCACATCCTGGACATATAATCCAGCAGCAGTTTCCAAGGTGGCATCTGCAGGATCAGCCATTAGCAATGCATCTGGTGGTATGTTTTGTTTCATGTTTCTTTAAAAGTAATATGATTTACATTAGAACCTTTGCTAATTTCCCAGTTCTCATATACCAGTAATGTTGTATGTGTTCTTAGTTTTCTCTCAGATCACATAACTTTGCTTGAATGTTAACTGTCTTTTAAACCTTCATAATTTTTTTCTTTCTCCCCCCCACCCCCCATCCCGCCCCATACAATGAACAGCCTATCTTCTGGCTGAGGTATGCACTGGAAAAATTCCATAAATATGTGCTCTATCTTAGATATATTGAGTGCTTCTCCACATCAAATATAAGATACCTAAAATTCAACATTCTTTTCTTTAGTCAGAACTTTTGTTTTTTGCCAAAGAACCATCATTAGACTGTTTTATTTTCCTTTCGTTGTCAACATTATTGCTAGCAGATGGCTTTCTTTCTGGATATTTTTACATCTCAGCCATATTTTTTCCTCTTACTGTTCAATAAGAGTTACTGTGCTTCTACAATGAGTAGAAAACCGTGTTGAGATGTGAATATGCTGGATGCTTGGGTAGACTCAAGCTCAGTCTTTCATTTCTCTGCTCCAGCTTTATGTACACAGACTCAGTTCATTCTACAACAAATTATAAGTTACTGAGATATATTGTTGTCATCCAGAAAAGAAGGTAGAACCATAACAGTAAAATAAATATTAAGAAAGTGAAGGAAAACATAGAGTGACTTCCAATTTTATTTTGTACTGCTTTTACTTCCTCTGCTTCTGTCTTTTCTTTCCTGCTGTAATTTGCTAGTGTGCTTACAGTTTAAATCAGGTGGTGTTTATTTTTACCTCGAGGTTAGATGGTATCACAACAGGCTGACTACATACAAATTAAAAGAGTGAAGGATGGTTAATATCCTTCTCTCAAGCAATGTAAACTTGGTGGTATTCTGCCCCATTGTGTGATTTCGTTGCTTTCCAATAAGAAGATCCAAGAATTAAGGAGTAGAACTGAGTAGGTTTTCTACCGATTAATGCTGTTTAGAAAAAATATGTTAGGAAAGGGTCTGTAAATCCCTAGTTCTTTCTCGTTTTAGTCTAAACTAATTAGTGGGCACCTTTGAAATATGTTGTTAACACTTAGATGTCCATTTTCAACTGAAAATTGGTTTGCCTCTAAAATATTTCCCCTGATGTTATAGAGATTACGTTTCTTTTGAGTCATAATCATTGATCTGTTGATTTATTTTAATGTCTGTAGCACTGAGCTCAGAGACTCGCTGTGCTGGTATGCTTAAGACCTCAAGGGAAGTTTGTATCATTATGGTAGTCCTATTGTGATGTATTCATTTCTAATATCTTTGGTTTGACTTCCACATCTGAATTATTATTATTATAATTCTCTACTTTTTCTGAAATTGTAACTTGAAAGACATTGGAATTGGAAAACACTTGAAATACTTATGGGCTCAAATTTAATGCATATATATATATATATTAGTAATTGTAACTTGCAGTGGTAATATCTGTAGCATAATAAAAAATAACATAGAAATAAAAAAAAAGTATATATTATGGGCATATGGTTAATGCTTGTCTGTTAGTAGTTAAAATTTGAGATTCTCCTGTATAAGCAGCTTTATTTGATGCTTTACAGAAAGACTTTCCCAACTCTTGAAGAAATTATTTGAAACCCAAGAATCTGGTGACCTCAATGAAGAATTAGTTAAGGCTGCTGCCAATGGAGATGTTGCTAAAGTGGAAGATTTGCTAAAAAGACCAGATGTGGATGTGAGCATTTAAAAAATTATTTTGAAGGATACACTAAAATAGAATAGTATAATGAACCTTATACTTAAACAGTTACATAGATTTTGCCACATTACTTCAATATTTATTAAGACTTTGCCACATGTGTTTTAGTCCTTGTTTTTCTGAGATATTTTAAAGACACCAGCCATCATTTTTTAGTGTGCATTTCTAAAAGATATTGTAATTTTCTTATTTTAACACTGTGACGTTTATTTTATGATTGACAAAATTTATATTTAGGCTTTTAAGTGATTAGTGTCCTTTTGGGAAATTGAGTGATTTTTTCTCATGTAAATATCATCTTATATGTTTTAAATATATTTTAGTAAATATAAGCAATTTTCTATCCTTTTAAAAATACTTAATCTAAACTTTTTACCCGTTCTTCTCTGTGAAACTTGACTATTTCATAATTTGTAAGGCAGATGACTTAGAGGTCATGCACTTTGTAAATCTTAATAGTTTATGTTGTAATCTTACTGTTCATATAAGCCATATTTTAAATGGGTTATTTTGGTTCTTACTTAGTCATCCTTTGGCTTTGCCATTGCTGCCGTGCTGGCATCAATATGATATTTAGTGCAGACCAAGATTGTAAGTGGAGTGGCAGTCGCTGTGTTTATGAAGGCTTTTGTTGCCACATCTTTGTATGTAAATATGCTAGACAGTTTGAAGAAGATCAGATCTATAATTGTAAGGTATAAACTATTCCTATGAACTCACATAGCAATTTAGGCTTATTTGAGAGAGCAATTGCAACGGCACAACAAAGTGGTTTTTTGATTGGTTGTAAGATATATCACAAATAATTTCTTACTGATAGGAAAGTACCAATGTTTTTGTGTTTGAAATATAGAGTCAGACTTCTTTCATAGTCAATCAAGCAAATTTACATTTTATACTTAATTTTAAAAATTTAATTACTGATTGGTATCTTGGTCATTTTTTAAGTGTCATACATTCCAAAAATTTAAGGGAAAAATACTTCAAGATTTATGAAAAATGGTATCTCCTTCTCAACTTATTTTCTCATTCTTCCAGAGTCAACTATATTTATCTCTTTAACTTCTTCCAAACAATCTTTTCATGTCAGAGGCCATTCCTCAGATGTCTGGTGTTCCTTGGTTGTCTATTTATCTATGAGAGTGATCAGTAAGAGGCGTGTGTGTGTTTGTGTGTGTGTGTGTGTGTGTTGACTCTGGTTTTCACCATCGAGTGATTTGGACATTTCCTTGGATTATTCTTGGGTATTGGTCTTTAGGTCTTTTCTCTTGGGCTGGTCTGACTCCCCAGAAAGATCTCTAGTTCTTCTGCTGGTTATAAACCTGGATACCAACCTTATGAATATTGAATAAGAGAAGAGAGCCTGGGATCTTAGGATTTGGCCTGTAAATATTTACATAAGATTTCTGTTTTTAGTACTTTGCCCCATTCTTAACAGTGGCCAGGGACACTTTACCCTTTCTGGAGAATAAACTTTCAGGTTTCTGTTAGTGTGAGGGTGGAACAGCTGTGCAGAGGTGGGGGGAATCCAGGGATCTAAATGATTTTTAAAAAGACTGTCAGCTGATGCTTTTGTGTTTAACATTCACTACCATATTATCCCCATATTCAGAGGTCATCAACTTTGAGTCTTTTGGGCTTCCTTGGCAAAAGGGTTGCTATCTACGTATTTTTCACAGCAGGTTTAGGTCTGCTTTTCAGCTTCCTGTATGTGTGTGAGTGTGTGTGCGTGGGTGTGTGTGGTTTTTGTTTTGCTAGTTCTAATTATCTTTGTGGATTGAAGCTTAAAAGAAAATAAAACTTTACTTTTGTTTTTGTTTTAGTATGATGCTGTAAATAATGAAATTAAATACAACCCATCATTTAATGAAAAAACATGTCCTAGTACACTGTTAATGGGAATGCAGACTGGTGTAGCCACTATTGAAAACAGTATGGAGTTTCCTCAAAAAATTAAAAATGGAACTGCTGTTTGACCCAGCGATCCCACTTCTAGGACTCTATCCTAAAAATCCCAAAACACCATTCAGAAAGAATATATTCACCTCATATTTCATAGCTGCACAATTTAAAATAATTAAGATCTGGAAACAGCCCAAGTGCCCAACAGTAGATGAGTGGATAAAAAAGCTGTGGTACATTTACACAGTGGATTACTCTACAGCTATAAAAAAGGAACATTTACCCTTGGAGACAGTATGGAGGGATCTGGAGAACGTTATGCTAAGTGAAATAAGTGAGTCAGAGAGAGACAAATATCACGTGATCTCACTTATCTGTGGAATCTAATGAACAAAATATGTTGACGTACAAAAAAATAGGTCCAGACACATTGAAACATGGAACAGACTAATCAGGGGGAGAGGTGGGGTGAGAAGAGATTAATCAAAGAACTTATATGCATATATGCATAACCTATGGACACAGACAATAGAGTGGTGAAGGCCTGGGGTAGGGTGGGAACTGGGTTGAAGGGGATAATGGGGGGACAGTAAGGGGGACATTTGTGATACTTTCAACAATAAAGATAAAAAAACACTCTTACAAGGATATACTTTCTTTATTAAAAGGTTTGTTGAGGTACAGTTGTTTTGTACCATGAATAAAAATATAAGGATATACTTTTTTAAAAAATTGATATTTAGAGAGAGAGGAGGGGTAAGGAAGAGAGAGAAACATGGGTCAGCTGTCTCCTGCACACCCTTTACTGGGGATTAAACCTGAAACCCAGGCATGTTCCCTGATCTGGAAAGGAACCAGCAACCTTTCAGTGCATGAGACAGTGCCCAATCTACTGAGCCACACTGGCCAGAGCACAATATACTTTTAAAGTCTTATAATATGGAAAAGTTTTTCCAGTTCTTACTAATGGGACTTTTTTCCCTTTAGCTTTTCTGTGTTTTTTGTTTTTTTTTTCATAGCATCTTCCTCTTGATTTTTAGATGTCAAGAATTCTTTAACTTCTATAATTGAAGTCCCCCCCACCCCCAAGTTTTCTTTCCATTCTGAAATGTAAAGTTTTTAAAAATTATAGTTGACATACAATATTAGTTTCAGGTGTACAACATAGTGATTTTTTTTTATAATATAGTGATTTAAAAAAAAATGTTTTCTGCAGCCAGTGTGGCTCAGTGATTGAGTGATTGACCAGGAACTCATGGTTCAATTCCTGGTCAGGGCACAGGCTGGGGTTGCCATCTATGTTGTTGCAGATGGTAATATTTCATTCCGTTTTTTATGGTTGAGTCACAATTTTATTGTCTACTAGGGGCCCAGTGCATGAAATTGATGCACTGGTAGGTCCCTAGCGGCTGCCAGCTGGGTACTCTCTCCCTTCCCCTGGCCACCTGCTGCCGCCAGGGCCCCTCTCCCTTCTCCCGGTCGCCTGCCGCTGCCTGCCAGAGCCTCCCTCCATTCCTCTGGCTGCCTGCTGCCACCAGCCGGGGCCTCCCTCCCTTCCCTCGGCCGGCCCTGCCCCCTGGTCAAACTCCTGGACAACTCTCGGTCAAGAGGACAATTTGCACACGGTGCTTTTATTATATAGGATATACGCCATTTCATTATCCATTCATCTGTTGATAGACACTTCCATATCTTATCTATTGTAAATAATGCTGCAGTGAACATAAAGAAGCATGTTTTTTTTGATTTAGTATTTTGGGTTTTTACAGATGTATACCTGGAAGTGGAATTGCTGAGTCCTTTGTTGTCTCTTATTATAGCATTTGTTTTAGAGTCTATTTTGTCTGGTATAAGTATTGCTACTCCAGCTTTTTTTGTTGTTTTGTTTCCATTTTTATGAAATATCTTTTTCTATTCCTTTGTTTTAGTCTGTGTGGGTCTTTCGATCTGAAGTGAGTCTCTTGTAGACAGCTTATGTATGGGTCTTGTTTTGTAATCCATTAAACCACGATATGTCTTTTGATTGGAGCATTTAATCCATTTGCATTTAAAGTAGTTGTTGATAAATATGTATTTGTTACTATTGTATTCGTATTTTTAATCTTTTTTTCTTCTTCTTAAAGAAGACCATTTAGCATTTCTTGTACTGGTCTGGTGGTGATTAACTCCTTTAGCTTTTTCTTGTCTGGGAAGATCTTTATGTGTTTTTTGATTCTAAATAATAAGTTTTGGGTAGAGTAAATTATTTTAATAGAATCATACAATGTACCAAATTTGAACCTATATTATATGTATATATTGGCTCTTTCTTATTTGTAACATTCCATCTTTTTATTTTTATTATTTAGGTAAATGGACAATGTGCTGGTCACACTGCTATGCAAGCTGCTAGTCAGAATGGACATGTTGATATTTTGAAGTTACTTTTGAAACAAAATGTGGATGTAGAAGCAGAGGTAATTAAACTAAGCTTGAAAAATATTTTCAGTAAAAATGTCCTAGAAATGGTACTTACTTTTGTATTATTAGATGAACTGTTTTCATTCTTGAAATTTAATATTTACCTAAGACTTTTCTGATTGAAGAGAGAAATTTGACAAAAGACAACTTGAAGCATTTCTTGGTTTTCTGTGATTTCTCAGTATATTTGGCAGTAGCCCCAACTGCTGTTGGAAGCCCAGTTGGGTTCACCCAAGAATTATACTGGGGAAGTTGAGGGAAGGGGAATATAAATCATGTGGGTCAAGATTTTTTCTGATTTGTGACATCAGAGGCCTCTATTATGGTTTTTTTTCCTCATAAGGGAACCAGTATATTAGAATTTGTTTAGTCTTGTTTCTTGTCCTTAGTAGGGCACATATGGAAGGCAACTGATGAATGTGTCTCTCTTACATTGATGTTCTCCCTCACATCGATATCCCCCTCCCTCTCATACTTTTCCGTCTTCTTTTTCCTCTCCCTCTCCCTCTTCCTCCCCCAGCATGTCCTCAGGTGAGGATTAAAAAAATAAAAGATGTCTGTTCTCAAGCCAATAAGGTGATAAATAAGCATTGAAGTCGAATAAGTTGATAAGTTAGAATTTTATAGGTGAGGGAACCAAGGCATTAGATGAGTCAGGAACAGTCCATAGATATAGGTTTTAAAAGAGGTTTGTTTTAAATGGAGAGGCCAGAAATTAATATTTGACAAAGGAGGCAAGAATATACAATTGGGTAATAAAATGGTGTTGGGAAAATGGGACAGATACGTGCAAAAAAATGAAACTAGATCACCTTCTTAGACCATATATAAGAGTAAACTCAGAATGGATTATAGTAAACCCTCGATTTTGTGGACCTCAATTTAACATACTTCCTATTTTTGTTTTAATCTTTATTGCTGAAAGTATTACATATCCCCTCCCCCCCATTGACCCCTTCTAGCCCACCTCCTCCACCCCGCCTCAAGAACTTCAGATTTAACAGATAAAATTTTCAGTCCATATATCATATGTGAAAGTTAATACCCTGTTAATTTTAAAATACTTTTTTTTAAAAAAATATATTTTATTGATTTTTTACAGAGAGGAAAGGAGAGAGAGAGAGTCAGAAACATCGATCAGCCGCCTCCTGCACATCTCCTACTGGGGATGTGCCCGCAACCCAGGCACATGCCCTTGACCGGAATCGAACCTGGGACCCTTCAGTCTGCAGGCTGACGCTCTATCCACTGAGCCAAACCGGTTTCGGCAATTTTAAAATACTTTTAACCACGATTTCCTTACAGTGAAATTAACAGGTTATTTTTTGTTATTAATTCACTGTTATTTTTAACAAAATTTAGCAAACAGGCCATATGTTAGAAAAAACACTATAGTAATTTCGCTGACATAAATGAATATTACGTATCTACAATTATAGTCCACATATTTATTTATTTATTTATTTTAATTAAATCTTTATTGTTCAGATTAATTACATTTGTTCCTCTTTTTTCTCCCCATAACTCCCCTCCTCTCATTTCCCACCCCACCCTCCACCCTCACTCCCCACCCACTGTCCTCATCCATAGGTGCACGATTTTTGTCTAGTGTCTACCCGCATCCCCCACACCCCTTTCCTCCCCAAGA